TTTAATTAGCGTTAGCTTTGAGGTAGGTGACTAGCAGAGGGCTGCTGGCAGGGCTTCCATGGGAACTTCTGCAGTGGGCAGACAGATAAGTGCAACCCTCTGTAGTGCTGTAGCACTTAAATGTTTTAATATCAGCCTCCCCAGTGGCTGCCAGTAGGTCTTCATTGGTCCCTCTGAGTCTTTTCTAATTCTGCCTACAGCCAATGGGGAAAGAGTTTGTGGCACCTACCCAGGCATGGGGTGGGTGGGGTATGGCCCTGCCTGGCAGGATCGAGCAAACCCAGGGCTAATGACCCTCAGGAAAAGGGCAGAGCCACAGCCACATGGACCTGGAGAGGTTTTACAAGGACTCAGGAGCAGGAGAAAAGCTGGGCTTAGGTACCAACCAGCAAAGTGTGACAGAGCCCAGCAAAGGACTGTGGCTTTCAGCAGTGCTTGGTCAGCAGCCAGCAATCACCACTTGCTCACTGCCCCCTCCGCTGAAGTCTGCTGTGAAAACAAATACTCTTGCAGTTTCCCTGCCATGGGGTGGAGGTGCCACATGCTGTGCCAGAGGAGGGACTGGAGCCCATCTGCCAGCAGAGCCAACTCCTGATCCTATCAAGATATTACTGTATTATTGAACTGGGGATTGAGGGACAGGCTTTAATAGCTACGATGGTATCAGGGGTCCAGCACTGAACTCCAGGAAGGGCCACGTAGCTGAGCCTAAGAAACAGAAAGGACCAAGCCTAAATTACCACAAGATCTCATGTTTTTGCACAGTGTCTGCTGTTTACCCCAGCCTCTGTGAAGCTGGAGCTAGGAGGTCAAAGGGTAAAGGTGAAGGGTCAGGGAGCCTCAGGTGTTCCCTGAGCTTAGAAAGAGCAGGGACTCCAGAGCTCAACTCCACCAGCCATACTGGAGCAGGGCTGCATGCAAGGACATAAAGAGAAACCTCAGCAGCTGCCAAAATCCTCGTGCCAGTGTGGAGCTCACTGTCTGGCAAACCACAGCTGAAGCAAAGGCTCAGTGGTGTGGCAGAGTCCAGCTGCAGCTCTCCATACAAGCAGTGGTCCGGTTTCAGTAACGGCTCCTCCTGGAGACCTTGGTGTCTGGCTGCCTCTTCCAGTGGCAGCATTTGCTGCACTCACATCTCCCATTGCTCACAGCCTCCCTGTCTCACTGAGTTATTGGAGCCACTGCATGGGACCACCAGACCCTCCCATGTGGCACCACCGAGCTGGAGAAGCCTGGCTCACACCAGCGGGCAAGACTCTGGCACAGAAGATGGATGCTTGGAGGCTGAACAACAGCATATTGATTTTCAGACGAGAGGCAGAGGGGAAGCCTCACAGTGTCCTCCTCCTTGTGGCACTGGCTTCTGGCTGGAAGAGATCTGATGCCCAGGGCCAGTATACTGGGGAAGACAACTTGATCCCCACCAGCTGCTACTGGTGCCACACGCCAGCAACAACTGCTTGAAAGGCAAAACAAAGAGGAGTTGAGGGAGCTCACTGGGAACAGATGAGAGGAGCTTCTGTTCAAGATGCTGTGGGGAAACAATTCCCTGCACTCAGTGGAGTGCACAGAGCAGCTGAATGGGGCTCCCGCCCACCACCATGGAGAGAGCTGGGTAGGGATGGGAGAGGCCTCTGTGCCCGAGGATGAGGGGAGAGGGGTGCTGGCATTAATTGGCTGCCAGAGAGCAGCAGCTGGAAAAGAAAGGCTGCAGTGCCCCCCAGCCCCCTCATGTGCCAAGGGCCCCCTCCACGCAGAGGTAGCAATGGCATGACATTTACGTGCTGCACACCAAGATCCCAATTAGTGGTGGATGGCTCATATGCTGCACACTTTAATTAATTTGCCTTTTTCTGTTGGAGAATAGCTTCTCTGACAGATTGGGACTGAGCAGAGAGGGCAGCTGCTCTCTCTAGCCAGCAGCCTGAGCAGTGGCTGGAGGAACTGGCTGTGGGCCTTGGCTTTGGCATCAGTAATACTGGGAGAGAGAGACTCCCTGTGCACCCAGCTGTGACCTGGTCCCTGCCCTCTCCTTCCTGCCCAGCACAGCACCTGGTGGTCACACAGAGCACCACCGAGCTATAGGGTCACTCCTCAGCAGCCACGTGTGGGTAGAGCATTGGACTTCCAGGGGAGTCAAACAGAGGTACTGGAAATGAAGCAATAAACCAGCAAACGAGTGAGGGCAGAAAACTCAGGACTCATAGGGACAAGTATCACCACTATGCTGTACCACCTGCCAGGGCTTCAGCAACCCTCTCTGGGATCCCAGGTCTCCCTCCAGGCAGGTTGGGTCCCAGGCCCAGGGATGCTGGAGCATTCACTGGCTGCAAGCAGTGCCCATGTAGGTGAAAGATTCATACAAAAGTCCCCTTGCAGCACAGCAGCTCCAATGACGACCTCCTCCCACTGTCCCAGGTTTCTGGCACATTCTCTCTTCCTAGCTAACCTAAATATTCTTGTATGTTCAGCTGTTCCTCTCCTCTTTCAGCTCATTAGGGCTTTTAGAGAACACTGGCTCCTACTGCACCCAACCAACCCACCGTTAACCTTGTTCCATGCCAAGAAAGGGCCATTACTTTTGACTCCAATTCCCATCTCAACCAGCTTCTGTCTCCAGGAGGACTCTATCCCTCACCCTTGAGGTGTCTAAGTTTCTTTAATAGCCTCTTGTGAGGGACTTTATCAAAAGCCTTTTGAAAGCTAAATAAAATTCTCTGCACCATATTTCTCCTTTCCCCAGGATTTTGTTAGCACATTTAAAGGCTCCTGACAGGCTACGGCTGAGAAAAGCTTTCGGTTTTTAAGATTATTTCCTGCTCCTACGCAGTAAAGCTCTCATTTTGCCTCCTAAATTGGGCCAGCAAGTATGCACAGCTCTGATTTGGTTTCCTCAAGCAGCTCTTGTTGAATTTCCATGTTGCTTTTGGCACAGCATTTGCCTCAGCACTGTGTTGTCACACTGCAGTGAGCAGGTGAGTTGTAAGGCTTGGGGAAGGAGCCTTGTGCTTTTGCTGCACTGTCCTGGGCGTGGTCAATCCCACCACCTCCCGATCTGTGCAGGGCTCCAGGCCTCAAGTCATCACGCAGATTCAGGGGTGTTGCTAAAGAGTACAGTCAGATCAGCCCTGCCTGAAACAACAGAGGAAGACTGCTGGGCTGGAGCAGGGTAGTCCTGCAGAGAAAGATTTTTGTTCCCCAAGAGGCATGGAAGGCATAAGAAATAAACTGCATTAGGGGTGGAGGGTGTGTGCACACATTGCATAAGTGGGCTCAAGTTTCTCTCTTTTCCCCCACTCTTCCCACCCATCCACCTCCCGCTGTTAGGTCTCAGGCAGGGACAAACTGAGCTTGCCAGATTCTAGGCCTGAAACTCAAAAGAAAAGCAGTGTTCTCTATATGTAGAAGCCCACCACCACTGAGAGCACCTGCTTGGTTCTGTAGCCACAGCAGATCATCTACAAATCATGCCCAAGGCAGTATCTGAAGATTAAGCCTCCCCGCACCCACCCTGCCCACTGCTCCTGCTTAATGCCTGTAGGAACACAGGCTGCAGCCGTTACCAGCCTTTGGCCAAGAGCTACAAAGCGAGTTAGGAGAAATTACAAAGCTACCTGCTCTCACCAGGAAGTCTCTCCTGTAAGTCTTGAACAGAAAACTGCTTTGGAGCTTCAGAGACGTCCTGAGTCAATGCAAAGACAGTGACTGCAGTTTGCTCCTGCTCCCACTGGAGCTCACTACCTGTTCTGCCGCTGTCTCCAATGGGGGCAGGTCTGGACCAAGGAGAAGTCCTCAGCAGAGCAGGCTTCAGGCCTCTGCATAGCAGCACAGCCAGAGCACCCAGCAACGGTGCACACCAGGCCTTTGAAAGTCTGCCAACACAGAGTGAGATAGCCCAGAAGACATTTCTCCAACCAAGATGGAAATTTTTCTGTAGGTAGCTTGGCTCTGGAAATGGACATCTATGAATGCTCTGCAACCCACCTACCAAGAATGGGCCTCAAGACTCTTCCAGGAATCATGTAGGGAGAGGGAAGAAGAGTTGTCAACTGAGCTGGAGCACTTTTTTTTCCAGGGTCTGTTTTAGTTTGTTTTTAAGCAGAGCAGTAAACAGCTCTGTCTAAACCTGCACTGCCCTGTCTGCCCAAGTTCTCAGCTGAGACGTAGCCCTTCTGGCTCCCAACTGCCAGCACATCCTCAGGCCGCTCCATACTAAGGCAATACAGGGATGCATGAAACCTTCCTTGCCACACAAGGGAATCCCATTTTTCAGGCTGCTCCCCTGTCAGATCAGGGATGTGGTTGGCTCAGGGCAGGTTTTAGAGCCTCATTAACACTCCGCAATGAGGCCTGGCAGCAGCTGATTTGATTTAAGGTTCATTTCCAGGCTGTGATTTAAGAGAAGATTTGCTTAATGTTCTCTAGCAGACTCTTCTGACTGGGAGCTTGAGTGCTGCCTAATGATAGCCTTATTTATTATAATGTCTTAGCAGCACAGAATCTAGAGGAGCTGGGCAGGAGCACAGCAGCTGCTGGCAGGTGCTCAGGCAGCAGTGGAAACATCTCTCACCACAGAGTGGTAACAGTGGGGTGTGCGTTCCTTTAACCAGAACAGCCACACGCTGCACCCCTTTTCTGCTTCAAGAGGCCAGCAAGACAGACCACTCTTTGCTTGCCCAAGGTAGGGCTGCATCTCTACATATCTTTTTAAGCTGGATAGGTGAAACACTCCTTTCTCCCTACGTGAACCATGGGAATTGGAGATGTGCCTACTCATCTGCAAACTAGTTAAAAGGTGACTGACAAGCAAGACTCCCAATGCTCCTCCCTGTTTCCCAGTTTTGGGCTTTCAACTCACAGGCTGAGTCTGCTTTCCTCCTGGGAAAGGGTGGTCATCATCTGACATTTTTAAGCTAGCTTGAGCTTCTGAGCTGGGTGTATCTATCCCCAAGGCCAAACACAGAGACAACCATCACACAAATGAAGACAGGAGGTCAAGCAAGGGTTTGTCATATTTTAATGACATTGATCTTTGGTGTTTCCCTCGTTAGCACTCACACTCTCCCTGTCCTTCCTCCACAAGCCTGCTAGGGATGGAGAGTTACAAACGAAAAGGAAAATCACATTTGAGACTAAAAACAAAATATCAGAGCCTTGACTTCTCCACTAGAAACTACATGTACAAGGTCAAGATTTCACATGCAACACCTTACATCACAGACCGATACCTCACACCCTGGCCTGGAGCTGAAAGACATTTCCTGCACCCTCCCAGGCAGGTTCAGCTCAGTCCTGGCACCATGAAACCACTGGGGTGGCTCATTCACGTTAATATTGGCACAGCTTAGAACATCCTTGTGTGAACTGTATCCTGACTAGAGAGTAGTAGCCTCTGTCCCTCTACCCATCTATACAGCAGCTCTGCTTAGTTTCCTGCCAAGTACTAAACTAGCTCTCTAAAAAGGAAAGGTCCCCTCCTGTGAGCATATCATGAGCCATGCATGTTTTGGCAAAGCCCAGTTCTTCCCAGAAAAGACCACAGCATAGGCAGGACTGGTCTCAGAACACCACACCCTGGTGGGGGGAGCAGTGCTGTGCTATGGAGAGGGACTGTGGCTTGGAAGACTCCTCCACTCCAGCAACAGAGCTGGAGCATCACACCTGGGTTTGCCCAGTACTGCCTGTCTCCAGAAGGATGCTGCAGGCCCCCTTCCCTTTCTTCACTCTACTGATCAGTTCCTTGGGCATAAAAGGGCTGGAAACAGGAAAGGAAAGAAGCTTTACAAAGGATGACACACCAAACTGGAGGGTTAGGGCTGAACTCAGAGGATGCCACTGGGCTTCAAGATTTGCATGATGTGCAGACAGTGTGGTTTGTATTCCTGCTAACTCTTCAGCAGTGGGAATGTTGGAAGTTAAGTATGCTTTTTTGCCCACGGCTTCCCTTGTAGTTCTTATCCCTTTCCCCCCAACCCAGGATAGAGAAGCCCTCTGAACCACCAGCATCCTGTCAGAGCCACACGTCCCTAGTCTTCCAACTCCTGGCCAGCTGTGAGGTACAGGTCTCTGCTGAGCAGTACAAGGGTAGCACCAACACACAACTCAATCTCTACCTGTTCCGCGACTCCCCACTGGTGCTGTCATTACTATAGAAGTTGGTACTGTCAGGAAGATGGTTATTATTAGTTAGGTCACTGTATTCAATTGGTCCCTCGGTGTCCATGGAGGACTGGGCCTGCTCTGGCAGGTCCAGATCTCCAGCGCTTTGTCCTTCACTCGTGCTAGGGGCTGTCCGCAGGCTCAGGCCTTGCTCCGGCAGCTGCACAGACTCTGACAGGATCCGTCCCTCCAGCTCTGTGGCCAGCTGCTGTGAGGTGGACTGCTGTGCTGATGTGCCCTCAGCTCCAGTGGACTCGGCACCAGTCTGAGAGCTGCGGTGGATCCGGTGGCTCACAATGATGTTGTTGCCAAAGCCGCCCATGGATGCCATGGTGGTACTCTGCTCCCGCTGAACCACGGCAGTCATGCCACCTTCTGCCATCAGCCTTTGAATCCTACTCAGGGCATCCTCCCCACTGGCTCCATATTCTGGACCTTCCCCTGCAAAAGAAAGCAGAAGTAATTGTGGTGCACAAGACAAAATACAACACAAAGAGAAAGTGTGCTGGGTAAATGCATCATCCAGAGTGCACATGACTGGACAGAAGATGGGTTTTATTCCAGAGGGAACCCAATATTTTATTTCCTTAACTTTTGGTTAAGTGCCAAACAAAGGCACCAGATTCTGACAAGAAAATCTCAGCCACTCCCACAGATATTCCTCACAGACTTACATGTCCAAACCTTGGAGAAGCAACTCTTATCTAACTGTAAAGGTAGGGGAAAAAAGTGTAGTTAAAGAGGCAGGATGTTTTATCACAGCTGTAGAGACAATCCTGCCAGTCCCATGGGGACAGGAAGAAAAACCTCAGTTTGCATGGCAACAAACCAAACATTTCACCATGGTGTTAAAGAAACCTGTGGCCTTTTGCTACTTCACTTGTTTGAGGAGAGCCCAGGCAGATCACTTGATGGCCATGTCCCCAGTGTCAGTCACGGAAGACAAAAGCAGCTGGCCAAGAGCAGACAGCAACTACAGAACACAGTCTGTGCTTTCACACCATCTATGACGAAGGAAAGATCAAATGTGCATGCTCCTGCTCTCCTGACTGGTATCTTTTGAGGAACGCAAAAAAAATCTCAAGGCCTACAGTCTTTGTCTGCTGAGACTTCCCTTCATAGTCAGGCTGTATTAAGCTCTGAGAGAACCATTCTCAGATACCTTTGTTGCTCAAGATTACTTTTGAAGAAAAAAATCTCACAAAAAAAATAGTCCATATAGGAGACTGAATCCCCACGACAGGGAAGTTCGTCCCAGTTCTGTTTACCAACATCCTTCTTTTGCTACAAACCCTACCCAGAGAATTTGGGGAACAGAGTCTGTAATCATAAACTGCTAGAAACATTTCACAGTGGGATCCTGCTGGTTCTTATTAAAGAAATAAATCTCAGTCCCACCTCCATGAAGCTATCACAGTGCTGATTAGAAGAGAAAGCCATGAGCTCTCTTGGCACCAAGGAAATGAACACAAATGTCAACAAGGCTAGGTGCAGGGAGGAGTTAAAACATAACAAAATGCCACACTGACTAGGAAAAGAAAAACACTTGGGGTTGTGGAGTTTAATACCTTTATCAATGATTTGGACGAGGGGATCAAGTGCACCCTCAGTAAATTCACAGATGACACTAAATTGTGTGGGAGTGGGGATCTGCTGGAGGGTAGGAATGCTCTACAGAGGGATCTGGACAGGCTGGATTGATGGGCTGAGGCCAGCAGTATGAGGTTACACAAGACCATGTCCTGGGTCCTGCATTTGGGTCACAACAACCTCAGGCAGCGCTACGGGCAGAGAGAAGCGTGGCTGCAAAGCTGTCTGGTGGAAAAGGATATTGGGGGTGCTGGTCAACAGCAGTTGTACATGGGCCAGCAGTGTGCCCAGGTGGTCAAGAAGGCAATGGCATCCTGGCTTGTGTCAGAAATAGTGTGGCCAGCAGGGCCAGGGCAGCGATTGTCCCTCTGTACTCAGTACTGGTGAAGTCACACCTGGAATCTTGTGCTCAGTTTTGGGCTCCTCACTACAAAAAGAACATTGAGGTGCTGGAGCATGTCCAGAGAAGGGCAATAGAGCTGGTGAAGGGCCTGGAGCACAAGTCGTATGAGGAGTGGCTGAGGGAGCTGGGGGTGTTTATCCTGGAGAAAAGGAGGCTGACACTCTCTACAACTACCTGAAAGGAGGTTGTAGTCAGTGGGGGTCAGCCTCTTCTACCAGGCAACTAGCAACAGGACAAGATAAAATGGCTTCAAGGTGGGCTAGGGGAGGTTCAGGTTGGACATCAGGAAGAATTTTTTCACTGAAAGGGTGGTTAAGTATTGGACTGTTCAGGGAAGTGGTGGAGTCACCATCCCTGGAACTGTTCAATAAATGACTGGACGTGGCACTTAGTACTATGGTTTAGTTACATGATGGTGTTCAGTCAAAGGTTGGACTCGATCTTAGAGGTCTTTTCCAACCTAAATGATTCTATGATCAGTTATCCAACATGAGAGCTAGGGTATTCAGCACAGATCTACACGTGCCACTGTAGAGATGTGCAATCAGTCAATGACAGCTTATTCCCTTTCCTCATGGGCTCAGTGGAACTTGCATCAAGGACCACCAGCTTCCCCCATCACAGGATACAATTTATTTCATCCTCAAGTAAGTCTGCTGACATGCTCCCCTGTTGCAGAAATATTATGGACATTAAAGGCAAATTTAATCCTCTCTAATAGAATAAGTCTCTTTCTGCTAGAAAGTTAGTAAACCTGTACACAGGTTTACACCTGTAACCACATGAGAATCTGTTAGCAGAGCCTTAGAGGAGTGAGCAAGAATACCCCCTGGACAGAGCCTGACCCACAACTCTAGCAGAGAAATCCTGTTCAGCACGTGGTTGATGAACTAGGATGTGGTTGATGCATGAACTAGGAACTCGGCTGACCAGTACGGAGACTGAGAACAGAGGCAGCTATTAGACTGGAAACTTCAGTGTGAAAAACATGCATGCCAGGGGATATTGAAGCATTAATCATGAGCAGAACTAAGTGGAAGGTTTGAGAAGCATGGTTTTGGATTTAGTAATCACTTCCTTCTGAGGGCATAGTTGTAAGCACTTCATTACCAGCCATGTGGCCAGACCAGATAGGAAGCTTAAGAAAGTGAAAATTTGCAACCTGGCCTAGAGACATGCCAGCCAGTCCTATCTACTACACAAGTCCTGAAAAGGTAGGTACTGTGCTCTTGACAAATCACTTACTATAAACTAGCCCAATACAGGAGCACTGGAACAGTAAATCAGAAGAGATTCCCAGCCAGCCAATGCTCCTCAGCATTATAAACATGTGCTTCACCAGAGCAGTCCACCCAGGCAGTGCTCACCGCAGCACCTCTTGCTTTTCCCTGCCCCTGAATTACCATGTGCCATGCCTGAATTTCTGATTGAGGCAGGTGCTTATTCAGAAAACAGGCAAGGGCTGATGTCACAGCAGAAATCAGCGAATCAGCAAGTCATGAGCCTGCAGCTTACCAACACAGAGATAGAGCAATGTTGGAAATTCCAGACAGACAGCCCATCAAGGGCCAGAAGAGCCTCACCATTCAAGCAGCCAACAAGCATGTCTGCTTTGGGGATTAGCCTCCCCTTTCCCTCTCTGAGATTTTCGACAATGACTTTGGCCGACTAGTTCAGAGCAAAGCTTCCTGCGCAATTTGCCTCGAGCTGAGCTACAGCACAGATCACACACAGCCCGTTCCTACTGCCTGGTGACTCCCACACACATTTTTTCACCAGGCTGCCAATGCAGATTACATTAGTACTCAGCTCAAGTGAAATAAGCTGACTTCCATTTGGTGAAGGTTCAGGGTGTGCACACAGGCACTTACCCAAAACAGCAGAAATGCTGTAAACCCCACATCTCAGATTGCTATAAGTTTCAACTTGCTACAGCTGCCTGCTGAACATTCCCTGCACTGCCCGTTGAACAAGAACAGGACAGAGAGAAATCCCACACTTGTGACACTCCAAAAAGTTTAGGCCTATCCAGAGGATGAACTCAAACTAGTGCGGGAGTAGGACAAGTGACAGGACATCTAATTCTCCATACAGACAAGGCAATTTCTCTTCTCTCATTTTATGTTCAAAACTATGTTCTGGTGTCCCAGACTTCGTAAAATCTTTTATCTCAGGCTCTCATTCTTCTAAGCCCACCTTCTAGGGTCAGAAAAATAGAGGAACCTCATAGAGCACTACAGACAAAATCTAGAAAACTGAACTAACCACCTATAGGTACAGTGTGTGAAATACCACTGTAAGCACAACGCCTGCAGAATAACAATTCATCCTCCACACAGGCTGTTCCTGTAGCAAACTCCATCACAGAGCAAGAAGCAATCTCGGACAGAGTGTCAACCATTTACTGCATAGGGTGCAGTACCTGACAGGACATCACCACCCATGGTTTCCTTCTTCAATACAAGCATCAGTGTTGTGTCCACAGTGCTGTGCTCCTACAAACATTTTCTACTGTAATCAAAGTGACCTTTCCAGATGTCCAAAACCCCATCTATTCCAAACACAGAACATTACTCTTGAGAACAATTATCCCAAAAACTAGGGAATTTTTGTCAAGGTAGCTGACTGGCTCAAACATTTAACAAAATATTCCCTTAGCTAATGCATCTGTTTTTGGAAGTCCTCTGCCACGCTACTCCAGCAAGACAACAATTTGATATAGAAGACTACAAAGGTAAAATATCTGGCAAACTTTCGATGGAGCTGGGCAAAAGGCAGGAGTATTTCCACTTCTAAGTGAAGTGGTCTCTGAAGTACTTACAGAGAGTACAACTTGTTTATCTCTGGGCACGGATGGCACACACCTGATAAAAAGCAAAGTCTACAGAAGCAAGGGTGAGATCACACTCCCCTGTGGCTGTGCAACATACTGACATAGCTCTTGAATTTTTTTTCCATTTTCAACTTTACTCTTTCTAAAACCAGCAACAGTTAGCAGCCGTGTTTGCAAACAAAGCTTTAAAATTAGAACTAACAGTAAAGACTGCAGAGATATCTAAATCTTCAGAGAAAATGGAATAATAGCTCTGAGGTGTGAGCTGACCCACTAATTCATATGCTCAAAGATAAAAATATCAGCATTTTTAAATTAATTCACTCCTTGCATAAGAATAGAAAGGGGAGGGACACAGAACAGCATAACCAACTACGAATAATCATATCTCTCTTAATGCCACAAGAAATACTACCAGTTACTTTTCTGCCCAATCAAGCCCAGTAGCACGTTGACGCTTCCTTTCTGAGGTAGTTAATCCAAACAGCTCCACAGAACTCACAAAAGACACAACTGCTTTGACTTGTAACAAATTTTGCAGCAGTATCTCACCTTGGCGATTCATATGAGTGAAACTTACTTTTGTAATGAGAGTTTAAAAGTAGCCCACATAATTTGATCCCAAGAGAGGCAAGTACTTTGAGTAGATCACACTGTGAAGGCTTGCACAGTACATGCTTTCAGAAACTGATTCTATTTTTTAGGTACTGCTTTTCTGAAGGTTTTAGAGAGAAACCAAAATTTGCAGTTTTACAGGACGTGACGCACATTTTACAGATGGACAGGCAGATGAAAGGCTAAGGGATCTACCCACGTTTCTACTTGGAGAACGTGAGGCAGATTTGGAATCTGATCCCTGGTGTCCCGGTTCCCATTTCCATATTAATTGTACGGAAGTCACATCACATCTGACAGCAGCATTGCAAGAACGTGTTCAGCTAACATAAAACAACACGTTTCTTGTCAGCATTCATGAGGCTCGGCTGGGGACAGAGTACTCCTGCCCAAGCAGCCCCTTGACACATGTTCTTAATGTCTCAGATTTAAAAAGTTACATCACATGCAGGCACATTGACTGCTTCTAAGTGCTCCTTAGGCATCCTCAGGATGCTTTGCTTGTATCAGGGGAGTTTCACTTGCATGTGCTGTCTTTTCATTACCAATACTTTGAACAGATTGAATGCCACAAACCGAAGCCTTCAGTTTACAACCCTCTTCCCTCTCAGACAGTATCTCCTGCGACCTCTGAAAATAGTTGGACATAATGGAAATTTCTCTTGGCTGGTGCTAACCCTTCAATCAAACAGGTCAAAAACTGTATATACACTGCTCCCCCAAAGACAGGCAAAGTAGCAATCGACTGACAGCAAGTATTCTGATGGCTACAATGTCAGCAGTTCATAACGCGTGCAAATGATAGGAAACAAGATCACAATTGCCTTTCACTTTTTTTTTTTTTTTTTTTTTTTTTTTTTGCGTGGGGATTTGGGTTTTTTTTAACAACTGGATTACCTGAAGGATGTATTGATATACTGTCAATGGCCAGGCACAGCATGGATGCACTATCATCAAGTGTCATGCAGCTCTGCAAAGATTCCTTTCCTCTAGCCTGCAGCACCTTTTGCAAAACTGCAGTCCCTGACAGTTTGTGCCAGCAGTCTGAACAAATGACAGCCACAGACTGACCCAGTCTGGACTGGGAAATACAATTTCTAAAGGTTAAAGCTTTGGGCCACGAATTCTCATCGGGAATCTTGTTTTGTTTTTAAGCAAGATTCAGTTTGCAAGTTGAACACAGATCCCCCTTCCATCATGCCTCTATTTGCAAGGAAAAGCACAGGATAACTCCCAGCAGATTGTTTCTAATTAAAAGTGACTAAAAGTTACAACTCTATCAGTATTTCTACTATGTCTGTCAGCTTATAAAAAATAGGAGACAGTTGAAACACTGTTTTAAGCATATCTTGGTACCTCTCCTAGTTTTCTCTCAACTCCAACTACCTTTAGTTTATACATGGAGCAGAGTTCACAAGTTCATTATCAACTGCTGCAAAACAGAAAGATACAGACATTCGTGGGATTCACTTCTAATAAAGTCATCACATACTCATTCCTCATACCTCTAAAGGAGGCAGAAAGATAATCAGAGCAGCAAAGTCCCCGCAGAGCTTTGCATGAGAAAAGGAAACTATTTATACCCGCACAGAGCTTAATTAGATTCCTGATGCAATTCTGCATACTTTTTTTTTTTTTTTTTTTTTTAATACAGTAAGCACATATCTGCAAGAAATGCCCTAAGCCAGAATTCCCCACAACAGTGGGACTGACAGGACATAGGACAGGAAACCATTCTCAGGGTAGCACTTGCCTTTCTTTTTTCCTTTTCTTCTTTTTTAACATACAAGGGTTTTGGTTTTTTTTTGGTTGGTTTAGGGGTTTTTTTCCCCTCATAATCAGATGATAACTAAACCACTTTTCTTTACATTACTCAGAATCGCACTTGATTTATCCCTTGGACTGCTGATAATACTGCTAAGCCTTTATGTAGTGATTTACATCTTCAAAGCCCCATACAAAACACTAATTAATCTTCACAGGTCCCCGGTGTACTGTACTATGGGAAGATTTATTCCCATTTGGTAGATGATTAATAATTTTAACTACACCCTAGTGGTAGCATTTCTTCATTTCCCCACCCCCCACTCCCCTTCCCCTTTTGGCCCCTGACATCTGCATCGTGCTATTAGGAAACACAATTACATTTTCAACAGGCAGAGAGTTATGGTAGGTACAGTGGGCAAATTAGCCATCAGAAAAGCAGCATGGCATCTAATCTTCCCTGCTGGAACACACTGGACATGCATCACAAGAGTTCATGGTGCTGGAAAAGCAGCAGTGCGAAGAGGTTCAAGAGTAATGTGAAGCAAAAAGACTCAGATGAACCAGATCAGTGCTGCTGCAAGTACCTGGCTAACTGCTTGAAGTGTTGGTAGCAGCAGCTGAAAATTTGTCTTTCTGCTTCATGACGGGTCCTTTTACTATTCTTCTATTATGGATTACAGTTGGGTTTTTTTGATCCTACGCGCTCCTGATTGTTAATGTCTTCAGAGCTCCCTGTTTCAAGTTGAACTTGAGCCCTTATACAGGAATTTACACTGAGGATGCAAATGGCACGGGAACTGATCAACCATAGGGTAAAACCTCTCAACTCATCTCCAGTGCACGTGTTTAAACTGGAATAACGCCTTTGTTCTAAAGGTCCTTATGTAGCTGACAGGAGTGTGACAATCCCACTTGCAAGGGGACATGCAGTAAGTCAACATCTGAACTCACCAATCTTCTTCCAAGCAAGAATGGGAGAAGAAGAAATATATCTGTCCTAGGCTTGTTATCTACACTCTTCCAAATGCTTCATGTTTTGCTTCTTTGTAGAGATACCCCACTCAAGGCAGTGGTAAAGGACAATCCTTTCCCCATCTCATTACCAGTCTAGTTATAACCCATGTCCTAGATCTGAAAATTGAAAGGTTAATTATAAAGAACAAGTTAATGGAACCTTCAGATGATTACAGAACAGCAGCAGAGAAAAGCAGCACTGGAGAACTCTCCTAGTTTAACAGAGCAGAGAAAGACTCCCAAAGCCTGCAGCATCAGCCATCATGGCCTCGATGCAAGAAGGTCCCCCACTGTACCTTGTTTTCAGTCTGTGGACCACATTCAGTGGAAGAACCAGTTCCCATGAGATCAGCATTTGTCCAGACAGCCTGTGTTCCAGACATTTACACGCCCTCAGCTGTACTAAGCTTCCAGAGAGGTTAATCTCAGCTCTGCTGAGATAAGCAGACAGAAACCCCAGAGGCCAAGAATTTCCCACTTAACTTTGAACAGAAGAGTTCAGGGAAACACAAAGCCTTATCATACATGCTGAATACTGCAGAGCAGTAACTGTGGAAGAATCACATACCAAAAAGTATCTTTCAGAGCGACAGAGAACAAACAAGCATACAGGTCCAAACAAGCATGTCATGGGCTGCTTCCCAAAGCCAAGTGAGTTCAACATGAACCAACAACTTCAAAAATGACTCCTCAATTTTCTCTTGTCTTTCCTATGTACATACTGCCCAACTCCTCCCTAGCCAAGCCTTCAGAGTTGGATTCAAGTACAATGCTACAGTATTAAGATAAGAAGCCTAGACAAAATCAACATGTTTTCAGCAGACTAGTGACTTTTATCATTATATAGGAATTGCACAGCTTCCAGCTCTTTACATATTAGGAAGTTTTCCTGGACTGCAAACCAGTAGAGACAGTTTTGAATAGCTGAGCTGGACACCCATCACATACTTCATCAATCAGACTAAATAGAATACTCACAGCTGCTTTATGAGAAGTGATTTACAGTAATTTATTTTGTATCCAAATGCTGAGCTTGTGAAGGCTGCACACGTTTTGTAGAAGTTGAAGAACCAAGCTAAACTCTAACACAGAGGCAGAAAGGATAACTCTCAACAGCTTGCAGCCTTACTGATGGTTAAGAGTTCAGAAGATGTGTGAGGGGTGATGGTAGTACAGTTAACTCTACAAAGACCCAGTGATCTGAAGAAGAGTTAATTTTGCCTCCTCAAAGCAGGTGCAAAAGATAGCTTCTCTATTCATCCGGTCAGAGATTCACTCTCCTGATTACCTTGGCCTGGTTACAGGCAAATTAGGCTGGAGAAATCTTTGCCGAAGAGATAAAAGGAGTGTCAAAATGCATTGACAGCATGTGGAACCTATGCGGAAACTCCTAACTCACCAGGTAAGCCATGCCAGATAAATCATTGATTGATCTCCTACCTTCCCCAGTCCCTGCAGAGGCAGATTCCTGCTCCTGTACCTCCCTCTCTGTCTGAGTCTCAGCATTCTGCAGCTGAGGCGCCAAGGTCTGGGTACCCTGCGAAGTCACAGAGGTGGGGGGATTTCGGGGTTGCAGGCCTATGGCATTCATCAGGCCCATGTCCCTGTCTGTCCTCCATGTGGCTCTGCTGGTTCTGAAAAGAGAGAAAAACAAATAAGACTGAGAGCATTAGAGGCAACATGCCCCAGCAAGATTGAAACATCCACGTGAAGCTCTTCTTGCTTCCGCTCCAACCAGGCATCTGCTAGCCACTAGGCAGATGGGGATGGAGGGAATTGTGATCTGCACCTATTTACACAGGCACAGATACCCCTCTCCAGTCTCAGCAGCTGGTCTCTTGAGTTTTAAGCAAACAGAGTCTTAGAGTCCACTCACCCATCCACAGAAGCAGTGTGTCTTACAGGCACAGAGAGATATCCCTGCAGCGTCATTAAGCCTGCAGAACACTTGTACTGCATTGGGTAGGCAATGCAGTGTGCAGTGCAGAAGCACAAACACATACAAAACCTCCTGCACGTCGGCAGGGCAGTTTCAACTCCCATAGAGTTAGCCTGTATACTTTCCCTCCTCTGGACTTCCTAGTTTGTCAGCATCACACAGAAATGTGCTCCAGCAGGCAGTTCTGCCCATTCCAGTCAGACAAGAGAAACCCTGTGTTCTCAAAAGCAAACAACAGGAATCACCTCAAGGCTCATTAGCTTCTCAGAATCGAACAGCTGAAGTGTACAAAGCTACAGCTGAATCTTGAAAATGCTGGACGCTCTTTTCAAAACTGACCTCTGCCTGAAAGTGCTGGGAATAGTAAAGAGACTCTAGGAAAGATTGCCTCATTACCAACCTTTAAAGCCATAAGGCTTTGAAACCTGTCACACTTTTCTAGCTCTCTCTTTGAGCTAGTTCATTCTGGACCAGTATTTCTGCCTTCAAGCTGCCCATTATGCAGGATTGATTATGCACTGTCAGGAATGTAAGCAGTGGCAATATCCACTCACATGGTAAAGTAAAGAATCTCTACTGCTTATTTTTCACCCTCAATTGGATCAAGACTTGCATAGACATTGCCCTGTACTCCAGCTCGTAACTTCCTTTGGATCCTGGAGATCACAATTCAGAAACACAGCTATCACCCTCTTGCTGAGAACAGTTGGAGAAGTACTTGTCAGCAGAGCAAGAAGCAAGGGACTGCAGCATCGCCCTTGTGTGTAGAATAACTAATTCTGCATCACTGGACAGACTGGATGAAATGGCCAATGGGGCTGTCAAGGGATTTAGCTTTATTTTTGGAGTTTATTGCCAAGAAACAACTGTCCCATGAACAGAAATTAAAGGGATGAAAATCTGTCATGAGGTCCACCCAACACATTTGCCCTTAACTCTGTGACCTGCCCTGTTCTTCAGCTATCCTCCAAAGGCCATTTGCTTTGCACAGTGTTTTCGGTGCATCAAGCCCCACATGTTCCTCCCACAGCTTACTCATGGATGTTACTCTGGCCATGAATGACACATGTACTTTACTATCACTGGTACTTTTGCGCACTGAATGTCACTTGCTGGAAGAAGGCTAGGAGACCCAACCAGACAATGTCAAAGGGGGAGAAAATTGCATATTTAAAGCTGCCAGTGGTAAGGGAACAAAGAAGTGGTGCTGACAGATGTAACAAAAACAGCAGAAAGGGTCAGATCTAACTCACACCCCGGAGACTCACCCAGGCCGCTCAATGCTCCTGCTGCTGGAATGCGCAGCAAAGATGTTCTCATTCAGCTGGTCCCAGTGGTACTCAACTCCAGAGTTTAAGGCCCTTGAAACACCAAAGAAGGAAAAAACATTAGCATGACAGAACACTATTCCAGCCAGCAGACATTACATGAAGTGTTGATTCCTGCCCTACAGAAACTGCAGATCTAGCTCAGTTCACATTTTCATTAAAAGGGCTTATCACCATAAACCACCTTGCAAACGTGGAGCAAAGTACGACCAGATTGCTCTGGAGTATTCCATTCATCTCAATTCAGTATTAGCACCAAGACACAGCAACAGGAGCAGAGAGATTTTCAGGAACTGAACACATACAACTGTCTGTATAGAATCAGGGTACCCTAACTCCAAGTGACTACACAAAGAATTGGAATAGAAAGGCCAATTCTCCCTGTGATGCCTGCAAGCATTTCCTGCACTAGGTAGTGCTCAGTAAGACATTGCTCTTATTCCACATTTAGTTTCTTTGCAAATGGTCCTCATTCTACCTATAAATAAATCTCTATACAGCCAGCTCAGTGACAGCCACTGTGAAGCAAGGACAGATGTAGAGGATATTTTAACAAGTTTCCACAAAAGAGTTTGTACTGTATCAACAACATGTGTATCTGAAAAGTACAAGCTTAAATTTCACAGTTAATGCTACTAAGTATAATAGAACAGCCAATGCTCTGGCAACTTTTCACAGCATATTTCCCAAAAGATACACCAAGCCAGGGCTGATTAATCACAGGAACATACAGGGTTAGCAATAATTTCTGAGGACTACAGGCAATTACGGAAACTAAACCACTCACTGTGCAGTCTAAGGTAGCATGGAGATCTTCCACCTACTGCTGTGTCCCACCTCCAGAAGAACTATGGGCTGCATTACTATGGAAGACACCTTCTGCCCAGTGTTTTGCCACACCATGCTGACATTGTGTATAAGCTGGCCTGGGAGTTTCAAATGGTGCTGGGTACCACCACACAGCTGCTGGACTGCAGACACCTGATGGTGCTGGGTGCAGAGTTAGCAGTGCTGTGCAGTGGTCACAACAAGACAGCGGGGAAAAATAAAAAAGTAGACAGAAGGGAACTCTGTCTGATGGACTTCGATCACACTACCAACTGCAGTCCCATAATCAGAAGGAAGGATGTGGGGCAAGTAGTTCACAGTTGGTTATGGCTCAGGCAAAAACATGATGTTTTTATGTACATATAAAAGCTGTTGTTCCTGAAATGAGATGCCTCAGCAGAACTGGCAAGAATCCCAGCTTAGACGATGCTGCAGGTCAGACACGCTGCAATGGGAAAAACAGTGTGTGCTGGAGGCCTGGGGCTAGGCTGCTGGGGTGACAGTACCCCAGGTCAGGACCCAGGGCAACAGATGGAGAAAATTAGGTCAACAAAACCACTCATGGAGTCTACAGGAAGTCATTGCTTTTTTATGTTTCGTGCTGAGTTAGTCCTGTGCTACATTACACCCCATGAAAGCAGCTGCCAGAGAGATGCCAATTTCCAAAGGCTTCTGAGTTTATTGACAGATGGTAATTTGTCACTAAAACCGTGACAGTCCCTCTGACTGCTCCATCCCCTGCCTAACATATTGACTGAGGCTTAGCTGTCACACTTTGCTGTCCGCTAAGTAGCACGCTCCCTAGGCAAGCAAGACTTTCTGACCTCGTAGTCAAAATTTCCATAAGAAGTTTAGTGTGCTTGATATCTGCGGCTATTACACAATAGAGCTGAACTGACCCATGCTCTTCTCCCCCTCCTTCCACACTTCTTCATGCTTTCCAAAGAAAAGGCATGGTCCCCACAGCCACGAACATGACTGGTATTTCTCACCAAGGTGCTATGTGTGCCCTACTTGTCTTCGCCAGCTTGCCAGCTCCAGAGACAAGAAACCAGAAGACCACAACGCTTTCCCTAGGCCAAAATGTGAGTTGACAACACTGCGTTTCTTCTCTTGCCCCAAACACCACGTTCCTGCACTACACAGAAAGCTCAGCTCCTGTGCACACACTTCTTTGAGTCAGATCAATTTCACGTCTACAAAAGCGTCATGGTACCAAGCTGACATGCAGTACACCAGATGACAAACTCCCAATCGGGCTCCTACCTATTCTGCAGAGGGTCACTATTGTACAGTCAGGTGGTTGGACAGCAAAGTCCATTCTAACTCCATGCTGTCAATTTGCACATTCCCCTAGATGATGAAATCAATAGCCATTCCATTTAATACATGACTTTTCACATTAGTTTTAAATGCTGCCATTTATCAACTGAATTTCACAGCTTTACTGTTGGAGAATTGAGAACTTTGCTTTCCTCCCCCAGAAGAAGGATCTGTAGCAGCCGGTAACTGATCCGTAACTGCTCCTGCCGATTCTGGGAACACTGATGAACAGGCTTAAGCCAAGGTCACTACACTTGGATACGATGGGAGTTCAGCATCCTCAGCAACATTTTAATTTGTCTTTTTAGTTTGGTCTGAGTGTGTCTCCCTGCAGGGCAAGAGAAGTGGCTCAGAATAAACAGGCACTCCTTACTGCAGCAGTGAGCATCTTCACTGCTACCTTTCAGCAGCCTCTTCATTTGGCCAGCTAAGCAACTTCCCATTCCCAACTCTATCTCTTGCAAAGACTTCAAGCAATGAGATCCTCAGCACCATATTTGTTCTCTTTTTCATACATCTGCACATCTCTGACCTGGGACCCACACTGGTCTCTCCACAGCCCTAAGATCAGTATCTCACTTGCCCCTTACTAGGTTTTCCAGCCTTTGGATGATTGGATGATTCAGCCTACAGAAGAGATGCTTCAGACTGCACAAAGGTACATCGAGGAAAGGAAATATCTGAACTTAGCAAAGGGACTGGTTGGGCACTATCTTTTATATTAAGATCATAAACAAAGATTCCATCAAATAAATATTGCTATTGTATGGACTAAATGCCAGTTTTAACACCATGCTTTAACACCAAACTTGATCACATAATCACACCTTAAACCAACTTAAGTATACAACAAGATGTGTGTGACAAACACAATTACCTTGGTTTAAATCAGATTTTCAATCAAGCTTAAAGACTTGCTCTGGTTTAGCCACATCTATTTCAAATAGTGCAATCTCCCTTTTCAAAAAGCCTAAAGGTTTTTTAGCTCCCATTGCAAAATACTGCCTGAATTTCGTAAATGAGCAAGCCTTTCACAGTAGGTTTCCCAGGAGATTTGCAAATCGAGGCCTGACTATTCATTCCACAGAAGCTTACACTGGAGAAACGAATATTTTTCAGGTAATATAAGCATTTAACTTTTGCTTCATCAAATTCTAGACATGGAAATGCTGGAAGCACTTTACATTTTTCAAGGCATAAGGTAGAAGCTCTGTGTAGCATGGAGCATGTTGCCAGTTGGATGTGGATGCAGTAAGGAGGACATTTGTTGCCCAGGGCTTTAGGGTGAAAAATTGCAATTCTCCACACTGTGTCAGTCATGGACAGTGAAGTCCACTTAGTCAAGTTCTTACTTCCTTCCCTTTTATGGCTGTCACTAAGCTCTCTAAGTCCTCCCTGGAAATTTCCATTAGCTTTGTTATATGCAGAGTTGCTCACAGCCTGAATTTCCCAGCAGGGATCTGTTCTGAGATGGACTTTTCCTTCACGCCTGTGTCCAGCTCACATTATTAACAAGCTTGGAGAGGATGAAGGGCACAGACTTGCAGGCTTTGCTGAAAGTCAAATAAGGATTCAGAGTGGAGCCTGTTAAGTACCAAGAGCCAACAACTTAGGCAGCACAGCCTCTCCCTGTGCATGGAGGTATTATCTACGCAGCTCAGTTATGCCCCCATGAAGAAAGTAGGACCAAGCACTAGGAAATAATGACAAAATTACTCATAAATTACAAGAAAGCTCAAATACAATTTACTGCATTGGCTTAACCAGTGTTTGAAAAGTATATCAACAAAGCACAGATCAGCACAAACTGACTTGGAAATCTGGGTAATTCCCCCTACTGGCATATCCAAAACTGGGAGTTGAAGAGAGGAGAGATTAGGACAAAAGTTCCCCAACTCCACCATAACAATACCACTTAGGAGCATGGTGGTAAGACAAAACAACCCATGATTTGCAAGCAGAACATCCATGTCCAGGAAGGCATAAGTAGCACTTACTACCTTTTCACTTAAAACCTCCCCAGTACTGAAGAAGGCAGCAGCAATGAGCAAATGCACTGCTCTCCTCCTTCAAATCCTGTCACATGGAAAGGCCCAACAGCAGCCCACTTGTTTGCTATAGTACCAAACTAAATTTTGATTAAGACATTGATGCCCTCAATTCCACCTAAAAATATCATCACAATCTCATCACTAGAATGAAGATTGTGGCAAGCTCAACACAGAGAAGACTAGCTGCACAGTGATGACATGCAGCGCATCTGATTTTCATGCTGTCAAGTTTGCTTTCTCCATAAAAGAAATTACTTCTTAAAGCTGACTTCTCAAACATACTGTCCATTCAAAATTACTAAATGCAAACATACAAAACCAGATTAGTTTATAAAGGATTTGAATTTCCCAAATGTGCTTTCTTTCCTTTGTGTAAACTTGTCATTTTTAAACCATTCAAACTGTATCATGGGAATAGAGTGAGCTACAGAGAGCAAGGTGACACTATGCTAAGGAATAGGAATCTATTGTCCTGGTTTGGAAAGGAAGAAGCAGCACACAGTATCTCATGCAATGCAATGCAATGCTGGCCAGATTCCAGATGCATCCTTGTCAGCAGCTCATTATCTTTTCTGCCAGCTTGTGATGATCAGCACAGCAAGCCCATCCCTGGCTCCCATGATTAGCTAGGCAACGGTATTGTCAGTACAAGGCGAAGTTTGGCACTCCCAGCAGCTGCCTGGATAGGAAAACAATAATTTCTAACGCCCTACTTCATAAATATTTAGCTTTCTGTGCAGGCGATGAACCACGTGCAGAGACAAATCCAAGCGAAAATTGGCTGCAGTGCAAACTGTATGGAACCAGCACACAGGGTTTCTGGAGTAGCTC